TGGTAGAAATATGGAACGTGCTCCCTGAGAGAATGGTGGAGGCAGGTTGTCAGTGATCCATTCCCTCCCTCCCTGCCTGCACAACATTAAGCTGTGAACCACATTAAGAGCTGGGCTATCCACTTGGCTCTCAGCCTTGCAGACGTGCTCTAGCGCTGACAGCTGCTGGAGGAGCTGGTCTCGTAGTTTGGGCTATACAGTTTGCAACTCTTTCTGCACATGTGATTGCCTGAAATGAAAGAAGCATCCTGGAGTCTGCAAATGGAACAAACACGCACTCTGGGGATTCCGGTTCCCTACCGAGTTTCTATTTATTGGAATGTCTAAACATTACAGAAATAAATTAGAGATTTGTTAAAATGTGTTAAAACATACTCACCATTTCTTTATCAATCAACAATTTCCCATTCGTTGGCATCATTTTGGTATTAAAGTCACCTGCAATTCACTTACTTTTCATTTGCTCTACAGACGCTTGTTCAATTATTCAGAGGAAGTGATACACTTTGTGATGTATCAATACAATTATGGTAACATAATGCTTCAGTTTCTCACTTGTAATGCAGACTCTAGGACTAATGATCCAGAGAAGCAGGACTAAATTTCAAGCCCCTGATCAGGCACGCACAGAATTCCCTGTTCCTGGCCATCAAGTCAGTTCCCTGGCTTAATTCCATCATTTTCTTGGACAGAAAATGGGAACGCCAGGGTTATCTAACCACAAGCAACAGATAGCTAATTGATGAGGATAATGGATTTTCCATCACTCTCCAAGTCCCTGGGGGAGGCAGGAAATAGTCTGGCTGCTTGAAGAAAGCCTCCTAGCACTTGTTTAGTGTGAATGATGTTGTCTAGTCAGTTTTAGTGGCCCTGTCTGCTCACCTGGTGTCAACTGCAGCCAAAAGTCATTCTGTGGAGACATTCACCCCCATCCCCCCACCCCCACAGCGGTGACCTAGCTGCAAAGGCTTGTAAATTTGTAAAAGTTAGAGGCAGCATCTTCACTTTCAGTATCCTATTTCTCACTTTTCTGTCAAACTGCAAGGCCTCCAACGGACCCTCCAGCATTGGGAACAAAAACAAAGTTGCTGGAAAAGCTCAGCAGGTCTGGCAGCATCTGTGAAGCAAAAAACAGAGTTAACGTTTCGGGTCCGGTGATCCTTCCTCAGAACTCAGTTCAATTCAACTCAGTTCTGAGGAAGGGCCACCAGATCCGAAACGTTAACTCTGTTTTTTCCTTCACAGATGCTGCTAGACCCGCTGAGCTTTTCCAGCAACTTTGTTTTTGTTCTTGATTTACAGCATCCGCAGTTCTTTTGTTTTTTTTTCTCCAGCATTGGGAGCCTGTCCACTATTTTTAACTCACCATCAGTTGGCCAATTCAAAGAAAATCACGAGCCGGTGACTGTTTCTCCTACAGTGCAGGCCTCTGGTTCCCATTTGAAATGCAAGGTATCACCTGGGGCCCCTCAGGAAGAATCCTGCCCATTTATTCAAATCCCATCATGACACTGAGACTTTAAAAACTTAAATACCCATTTGGTATTAGAGGGCTTGAGTATTGCTGAAATAGGCACATTTTGTTGAAGCTTTTCATCTTGCATCTTGCACAAAGTAAAATCTGTCTTTTTTCACTAATATTTAAAATTAATTAATTAAACAAAGAAAAGAAAATCAGCAGTACTGTTTTTGTAACAAATGAATTGTCATAAAATCTATCTGGCGTACACTTTCGGGAAAGGAAATTCAACATCGTTACCCAGTCTAGTCCACACCTGATTCCGGACCCACTACAACGTGGTTGACTCTTCAGCACCCTCGGAAATGGCCTGGCTAACCATTCAGCTTTATCAAACTACTGCACAAAATTATAATAATAAAAATTGACAAACCGCCTGGCATCATATTAAACAACAGACTGGAATGCAATAGAGGGCACATCCTTCTCAGTTGACCACGCAGTGCCTCCTCATTAATATCTGGGGCTTTTTTTCCAAATTTCGGAGAGGTATTCTTTAAGCTCTAAAAGCAAAACTCTGGCATATTTATTTCTATCATAATCACATAATCATATCTTTTAGACTATGTCCCAGAAACATCTGGGAACATCAGTATTGACTTCAGACCCCATAAAGTTTCACTGCATCAGGTCAAACAACATCATTCACACTAGCAAGTACTAGACAATGACACTGTCCAGCAAGTGAGAATCTAACCAACCCGCTTTGTTGTGAGCGTGTTGGCAACGGGTGCATCAGTAGCACTCTTGTTTCAGATCACAAGGTTTGAACCCCATTTCACAACCTGAGTACAAAATCAAAGCTGATATGCCAATATAATATGAAGTAAAAACCACAATGTGAGAGATGCCATCTTTTGGATCAAATGTTAAACTTAGGCTTCAGGTGGATATAAATATCCTGTTTATGGAAGTTTTGCCATGCACATATTAGCTACCCTATGTCCTACATTACACTAGTGAATGTACTTCAAAAAGCACTTTGGAAAATTATGTGGCTGTGAAAAAGTGCTTTATAATAGCAAAGTGTTTTTTATTGCAGTCACTGAATCCCCAATATTTTGGTGTTTTCCATTCACTAGAGACTTAACTGAATCAGTCATGCTTCATGTCATATACAAGGCACAAGTGAGAAGTGTGATGTAATACTTTCCAGTTGTCTGGATAAGTGCAGCATCAACAACACTCGAGAAGGACAACAGCATCCAGAACACCATAAATATTCATCTCACCATGATTTGTGCACCTTGCCTGTAGTACATGCCAGGTTCAAGATGCGCAATTCACCAGAGCTCTTTGACAATTAACTCTCAAACTCATGTTGCACAAGAACACCACAACGTTCATCTCCAAATCATACAACATCCTGACTTGAAAATATATTGCAGTTTTGTCATCGTTGTTGGATTAAAATCCTGGAACCCCATGGCTAACACCACTATGGGAGACCACCATTTCCATAAGGATTGCACTGGTTCAAGATTTTGGCTTGTCAGCATTTTTTCAGGTACGTTTGGAGATAAGCAATTAATACTGGTCTTTCCACAAATCAGAAGTGAATTTTAAAACGTTATTTTGTTTTATAGGAGGAATTTTACCTTACGGGGAATTTTAATGTTATTCTTGTAATTTAAAATTTGTTTTCTGCTTGTGGGCAAGGCTGCATTTGTCTATACTTAGTTAAAATTAAAAAAGTGGTTGTTATTGTCAATGTTTGCACTTCCAGCTGAATGATGCACTGGTCATTTTAGAGGACATTAAGGAAACCATGTAGTGCAGAGCTGGAGTCACATGTAAATCAGTTGCATAAATGTTGTAAGATCCCTCCCGCAAGAACATTAGTGAACCAATTAAAAACAAAATACTGCAAATGCTGGAATCTAAAAAAAATGCAAAAATGCTGGAGAAACTCAGCAGGTCTTGCAGCATCTATGGAGAGGGAAACAGATTTAACTTTTCAAGTCCAGTATGACTCTTCTTCAAAACCAGTCTGGTTTTCATGACAGTTAACAATTTGTCCAGGTATTTAAGCAGATAGCTCTTTCTCCACATGGTTTACATCCAATAATGCATAAAAATTACATCATCAATAACAAATAAGAGAGAGCTGAAAAACTGAATACTAGGCTTAGTAAAGTAATTCGATTGGAAATATGAATTTAGATTGTTTGAAACAGACAAAAACTGTTAAAGCTGAATGATCTTGTTTTATGGGATGATTAACAATGTTTAGGTTTCTGGCATTGTATAATAAAGGCCTATGAATGTTAATGGACTTTGTTCATTTGAAAGTTGAATGTAGTATGATGGTAAAATAAAGTACACCAGTATAAATGTTAATGTGATATAATCCATACACTGCAGTTGAACTTTTTTCTTAGTTCAATCTAGCATGAGAGGTCCTCAACAACAAAACCAGAAGTTGCTGGCAAAGTTCGGCAGGTCTGGCTGCATCTGGGAAGAAAAACCAGAGTCAATGCCTGAGGTCCAGTGAGCCTTCCTCAGGACAGGCCCTCACACTTATTGTCTACAGGATAGTGTTTTTTTGTTGCACCAATGCAATTGTTGAACTTAATGAAAGCTAAGAATCCTGCAGTACTTTATCACTTTAATGAATAAATCTATGTAAGTCAGTTGCTGCACAGTCACGTCTTTTCCCTACTGAATTGTTCATGTTGCTATGGAGATACAGGGTGTAATGGTTTTTACCAATAGGAACCGAAGATAAGATGTGGAAAGCTGATGTCATGCTATTATTTGAATGACACTGTGCCCTCTGCTACTGGGAGATGGATTCCAATACAGTTCTGAGAATTTTAATCATTGTGTTCTTTTTTCAATTGGCAACAGTTAAACTGTATTGACCTAGAACAGACACAAATTTGTGTTGAAGCATCCATAACTTTTTTGGAGTAAACACACAGCCTGTACTCCAGTTTAAAAAAAATGCACAGTCATTTACGTTTTTAATCATCAGTTCATCAACCTACCCTCTTGAGATTCCTTAGTCAATAATCACCCACTAACCATCCCACCATGCCACTCCACTTTTCTTCTTTGAGGAGAGAAACTAAGATGGGAAAAAGCAAGTTATAAAATTCTCCTTAGTGCTGAGTGAAACCCACAACTCAGCCTCTGCACCAAAACATATGCGCTGTCTACATCTGTCCACGTCATGCCCTCCATAACCAGGCCTTGGAAGATTGCTTGAATGACCTCCTGATACTTTAAAATCTCCATTTATATTTCAATTACAACACTTCAGTGGTGTTTTCTTTTTTTCTAGAAATATCACTTGCTTATGAACATTAATAAGAGATCTCACAAGATCATCACATTTTTAAATGTTACTGCTTATATTCTATAGATAGGTTTGTAAGAAACAAATTTTCAATATGTTCTTGGTGTTTTTAGTAAAAAGTATTTTAAGGACTGCATTTAACTTTTCTAATTAAAAGAAGCTCAGCGTGGCTTTATTTGAAGATTATTTGCAAAATAAATTACTGATTGTGTGATTACGACAGTTTTTGTGGCACAATTCTGAATGTTTCAAGTGTATTTTACAATATGATACATCCATGTTAATGAGCAATGGAATAGTAGAGGAATAATAAGCATAATTTTTGAAAATATTTCCCTCTGACCCACCAATCATTTATGTTATGATATAGTTAGCTAATTCTTAAGTGCTTTCTGTAATTTCTAATGATCTACAACAACAAAAAAATTATATTTATATGATTGTTATAATGAAGTGAGGAGGTATCGAATAGCTCCCCTTTTCTTAATCTCCTTGTTAGATCACATAGAATTTGTTGAAAAGGAATAACTCACTAGTTCAGTAAGCATTTATCTGTTTCTGCTATGATCATCAAAGAACCAAGTGGACAGATTTTCTTGAGTTGACACAAAGAAAGACATTAGCTTTGTTACATTTAAAGCAATCTGAGTAAGATAATAAAATATGTTCAGACCTTAACACACACATACACTTGAAGTTCACACATTCACAGGGATAGAGATTACACAGTGGGAAGGACAGATTAGTCAGATTAGAGTTCAGAGAAGTAGTCATAGGGTATACAGTCTGTGGAAATTGTAATTCCAAGATGGCGGAGTGGAGCAGAAGCATTTGGGCCTGAGTCCTGTGCTCGGGGATTGTCTACTTCTGTCTGCCTTTCTTGTTTTGTCTTTTTCTATTTTTTTTAACTTTTTCTCTTTTTTTCCTCTTTTCAGTGGTAGAGGTCCCCTTCCCAGAGTGTTGGCAGCAGTGGTAGCTGTTCCCTGGAGTGTTGGCAGCAGTAGGAGCAGGGGATTGGCGACAGTGGGTTTCTTTGCTGAAATGGTGGTCCCAGGAGGTGGCAGCAGCAGCAATGTCAGCTTCGGTGGGGTGGGCCCAGTGTCAAGTTTGAGCCAGGTTCAGGACCTGGCTGCTTCAGTGGCGAGATTTGCCCTGCGCGGACTCCTGGCGCCGATGATGATGTCAGTGGAGGCAAGATGGCACTGAAGAACAGCAACACGGTTCCAGCAGTGGTGGTGCAGCTCCAGACCATAGCTGGGCCCGGGTACCTGAATGTGATGGTGGCATGTGGGGCCTGCGTTCACAGATGAGGGATGGATTTTGTGACTTTGTTTTTCTGGCAGCGAGGACTCATGGCAGAGGCAGGGAGTAATCTAGATGTTTTGATTTCTTTTGGATGTTTCTTTTATTTCTGCTTCTGTTTTTAGTCTTGTCTTTATGTACTAAGATGGCGTCGGAGAGTGGTGACTTTACACTTTTCACTGAACTCCTGCATTCCTGTACTCGAGTACATATGACAATAAAATCTAAAAATTCTAAAATCTAAAAGATTGATGACTCAGCTGGCTTCTGGCTGAATTTGGTGGTCCTTCAATTTAAAAAATACAAATGTATGATTTGGCTGCTCTCCTGGAGATAAGAATGTGGGGTTGACCTCTTTCGATCAGTTTCAAGCAGATCCCTGCATGGTCATCGTCAGCAAATAGGGTTCAAAATTTACGAGGTAAGCTTATTTGGGAGGAAGGAGGGAACTCACGTGTGTCACTTCTCATCAGCATCTCAGCCACTTGTCTACTGAGAAAGCTGAAGTTTAAACACACAAAAGTTGGGCATATCACATGACTTTCACCCAGTGATTCACAACTGGTCATTGCTTGTGTATTCCTCCTTGCAACTTAATCCCCTCTCACAGCCAGGGTTCCATATTCAATGGATTAGGCTTGAAGGATTTCAATTGTAGTTTGATCATACCATGTCTGGGAAATCCTTCCCTCACGATCAGGGTTCTGTTGTCCAAGTAATTAGGTTTGATGGCTCATCTTCACCAGCAGAAAACTCAGGTGATTGCCTTGATGCCCTGATAATGGGTATATGATTGTAATTCGGTCATTTCCCTTGAATTGTCCTTGATGGATCTTTACAAACATGGTGCCACCAGCTCAAACGATTGGAATGTGGAAGGTACAGTGATGCAAACTGAGAAGTCACCTTATTACAACTCAACTTTCATCTCATAAAATGTATTTCCATGACATAATGTTTTTGGCATATTGTAATATTGTAAAGTGCTTCAAATGAGCATTATAAAACAGGCAAATCACACAAGGAGAGATAGGTCAGGCCTAGACAATCAGTCATGACAACCCATTGCAATTAAAATCGGGATATGCAAGATGCCAGAATTAGATAATCACTGAAATCCTGGTGGGTTGTGGAGCTGAAGAATATTATTATAAGAGCGAGACCACTGAGGGATTTGAAAACAAGAGAATTTTGAATTCAAGACATTGCTTGACCTGGAGCCAAAGTGAGTCAAAAATCACGGGTGCAATAAGTAAGTTGGACTTTGTGTGAGTTAAGACTTGGGCAGTAGAATTTTGGATGACTTAAGTTTATGGATGTTGGAAATGTGGGAGCCCTGTGAGGAGGACATTGGGATTGTCAGATGTGATGCCAGTGTCCAATTTCCACAATGCCTTCACTGGATAGCAGCCCCTGATCTGCTTCTCTTTCTGGTGTAGTCTGCTGCTGGCATTGCAGCCTCAGTTATTAACTGGCAAGAGCCTATGTTTGTTGCATTCCATCTTCTTGCTCCTAAGTTTCTCGGAATATTGGGTTTAAGAAACCCCAAAGATATTCCATTAATTGAACTGTGTGACGAGAGAGACCGTGTCCATGAATTTCATCCATAGAGCGAATGATCAGTGAAGTTTACAAATATTTCCACTATCCAAAGGCCCACCCATCATTAGGCTTCCACAACTTCAATCCCAAATCCTGGCAATGTGTATACATCTAGAGAAATTGCAAAAGTGGTCACTGCAACCCTTATGATAGAACCTCTTGGCCACCACTGTCCTCATATCCCCTTCAAACTTCTGTCCCACCAATCCACCATCACCACACTCAGGTTGCAAGGCCTTTCTCTTCTCCACTCCCCAGTGCCTCCGATCACGCTTCACACTAATCTCCATCCATTACCGCTGATTTACCCTTACTACTTCCAAGCCTCCATGCAAGTTGTCATTCTCTTCCTCTACTTCTTTTCCCAGAATTAAGAAAAGAAAACTTCAGGTCTGCAAGTACAAACCCACCATGTGAGGCATGACATGTTGTAAACACACAACACTGAGTTACTTTTGACATCTGAACCCATCATTGGAAATTCAAAATTTCAACTCCTGTCTAATTCAGTCAATACACATTATGTGTGTCACAGGCTTCATGCTACCCCAGACAGCTTCAGTTGTCCAGTATTTAATGGGAGGAAATTTCTACTTGTGTAGTACCAGATGTTAGATAAGCATTCTGCTGCAATTTTGCTTACAAAATGAAAATGTGTCGGAACTAAAATATCGACAATGTCTTTAATTAAAATAATTACTTCCTCAAAAGTGAAGCCTTCACTGCTAATTTAATTATTGTGTGATGATGTGAGACTACTTGCAACATTACGTTTCTAGGTATCTTGTGTGGTATTATTAGTCAATGGACCTCATTGACTGGTTCATAAAAGATTTTTTACCACCATCAAATAGTTTGTAAAGTCTGCAAATTGTGTTACAATTTTACAGTGCAAATAGGCAGACGAACACCATGTAAACTACTCTCAGCTGTACCAGACATTGGGGTGCTTAACTAGCTATGGAGACAACTCAGAACAAAGTACATTCTCAACAGGCCTTCACTATGTCCCACAGACTCCCACACCCATCAAGTCTGAAGCAACCATTCATCATGCCTGTTTTGGACCAAAGAAGAAAATTCTCCTTGAGTTTATAAAGTGCTGCTTTGCTTCACACAAACAAGTCATTGGAAATGTAATAATGAATGATCTTAACAGTGAGGATTATAATCAACTTGGTATCAACAGGGGGTTGTCTGGGAAAAGGTCATTAAGTAAGATTTAAATTTGTATGTACAGTCTGACAACAAAGGATTTATGATTAAAGATTAATGCCTCATCCACAGAAATGCATTTGTGGAGGCTCTTTGTTCAGGATCTCTTAATTATTTTAGAGATTCATAGAATAGTTATATTATGCATGCTTTAAAGTCTGTCAAAAATAATTTTATATTTATACAAATATTCTTAATTGTTTTTTGATGGTTCTTTATTAATATTTACTGCAACATTTTGTGCTTTTCAGGCAGGGTTCCCACCACGTTCAATTACACAGATCTAGGCACCACATAATGACTTTTTGTTTTCACAACTCACCAGCAATTGCAAAGATTTCAAGGGGGCATTGATTGCCATGTCACTTTGTTAAAAGGAGACCAGGGAAAATGGGACAGAAGCCATATGTGACGGTTGCCATGGAGCTTCCACCCATTAAGTTTCGTGAGAAGAATAGCTATAGAAGGCCATTTGGTGCATTGGAGACCAAGTAAATTGAAGTTTAGCCAGTGTTGCTGTGAGATCATTGGAATGTATTCAGATGAAAGAGTATGAGTGATAGCTCTGTCTTGTAGAAAATCGGCAGTCTTCAGCACAGGTCTATGACAAAAGAGTCAGGGATGTATTTTAAAAACCTTGATCTTAGCAACAGTGCTCGCAATGTAATAAAAGAATTCATTGGTGATACTTGTGTTCTGCAGGGCTTAAAAGTATAATGCAATACCTTTTATTTTGTCATTGAAGTGCCAACAAAAAAAACTTGCCGTGCAAACAAGAATTAAGTTCTGAAATAAATGGATTCCTGTTGTTCGTCAGTTTAGCTTAAAATCCCTTGTAGCCATTTATAGCTATTCTTCTTCTGAAATTAAATTTAACATTTTAAAGACAATAATATAGTGTAAGTGGATTACATTTTTAAACAAGGATAGTGGCCTAAAATTGGCCTAAAATCCACTAAAATTGACAGCAACAGTATTCAGACATACACACAATAACATGAAAATCTAGAAGCTGCTATAAGTATGTGTTTGCTTTGTTGCAGAGTGCAATATAGAGGTTCCTGCAAAGTGCAATTTCCAGTACAATCATGGTGAAAACCTCAACTGCTTCATTTAAAGGTACTGAAAATGTTACATCTTGTTGAATAAAATGTATCAGGGTTTTAGCAGACTAATTTGGAAAGAAAGTATTTTATATTTGTGGAGAATCAAATTTCTCTCAAAGATTGAAAATCCCAAATTATTTTAAATTTATTTTTCTTTCATTTAAAGTCAATTTCTTTCTATTCTTGTTTTTATCTAAATACAGTTATGTTTATGTTGCAACTTGAAATTTCAAAATAAAAGTTGAGGAAAATTTAATGAGTATAAGCCTCTGTTTTCTGTGTGTGACTATTTCAATGACATTGGTTGTCTACCTCCTTGCTGATATTGCTGTTGCTGCATGCCAAGACATTCCCTTGACTTGGCACCAGAATCAAATATCTGTCGGGAAAGAGGAAATTCTGGCCATAAGGTCACTGGATAGTTGTGCACAGTTTTCTTTGATGTTAACGGTGATTGTGTTTGTTTCACATTGACTATGGAATCCATGTCACATGTCACTGTGCTACCAAATCAGAAGTCATTGGTTCACAACCATCATTTGCTTCATGGTGACTTCCTCACTTTAATCACACTGTGAAGGAAGATGGAGTATTCAAATTAATTACTTTCCCATGGAGAACGTCATTCAATGTCAATCCAGTCTGGGATGATCTCATAAACTCAAAGCACCTACCCATCCAGTCAGGAAAGAGATCGGTAGAGATATAAGAATTGCTGTATATGTAGTTAATATGAATGGAGAAAGTGCTTGTTTATATATGTCTGTTTTCTTCCAATTAATGACCTATTAAGTCATATTTTCAAAAAAGAGTATAGTTTTAATTTTGATTTTTGTGTATAATTGCAGAGTAAAACAAGAATTATTCTGTTTTATTGATAGAGGATTTCAGAATGGTGAAATTTTGTAGAATAGATGTTTCAAGGCTTATCCTTTCATGACTTAATGTTGATGTACGTAAACATGACTTAGATCCCACAGCTTGATTTATTCATGTGCATTTTACATAAATTCTAATGTGATATTTATATTGACAGCTAAATGTTCGACTCATTAAAGGGTAAGTCATACAAACTTATTTTAGAAAGATCCCATAAAAAGGAGCATAATTTGACAATTTTACATCAAAGTAAACAAAGTGCATTAAATAAAATATACATAAGGAGATAAATATCAATTATTGTCCTTATATTTTGTATTTGCTTATTGAATATGCTTAGAAATAACACAAATGCAAAGAATATTTGGGAAGAGAATTATTAGACAGGAGTAATCTAATTAAGGGGTGCAAATTATGATATAAACCATAAAAGTTAACCTTGAGTATGTTATACCACTATCTAATGTCACTTCATATCTACGACAACTCCATCCCATACCTCCCATCATCCACCCCTCCCATTGTTAAAGTCATACTACTCTATTGAAGTTCTATTCTAGTGTAACTTCATGTAGATCTATTTATGCCAACAGCCATCATCAATGCAGACAGCTACTCAAGTAATTTGAATTATTAATCACTACTGACCTTCCCATTAGAGCAATTACAGTTAAAATGTAATTATTACCAATTGCTTGAAAAATAAACAAAATATTTATTGGAAATTCTAATCCAGTGCTTCTTATAGGCAATTATAGATTTAAAATCATTTATGAAATTAATATAGACTTATATTTATGAAGTAGACTGAAATATTGTTTTAGGTCCTGGAAATAAGAATTGGAGCAGCTTGGGGGCTGCAGAACCTGCCGCAGGAGGAAACAATGACCTACTTGGGATTTTCAAGAAATTTGCCCCCCATCTTTGATGAGCATGGAGGCAGGTTCTCTGTCCAATTAAGGACGCAATCTGAGGACTTCCAGCTTGAGAAGAGCAAGCTGCAGTAAAGTGTGCATCAACAAGGTGCCCACTTACAAATTTATTTAAAAATGCAAATAAAGGGCCCTCTTGTGCAGCAGTGATAGTGTCACTATTGCTGGACCAGGAGGCCCAGGATCAAGTCCCACCTGCTCTAGCAATGTGCAATAACACCTCTGAACAGGTTAATTAGAAAAATAGTTTAATTTTTAAAAATGTAAATAAAAATCAGAAAACACAACAAGATCACCACTGTCAGGCTTGAGGAGTTTGTTTTAATGCAACGTGGAAAGTGTTTTCTGCCCGTCCCTAATTGCCCATGCATGAAGTAGTTTGTTAGGTCATTTTAGAGGAGAGGGAGCCAATTACATTGCAATAGATCTGGAGTCACATATAGGCCATAAAGGATAAGATTGTAAAAGCCAATCAGGTTCACAGTACATTTGTGAACCTGATGGGCTTTTACAATCAATGACAGTTTCATGGTTCCTTTACTGAACCTAGCTTTCACTTCCAGATCTGGAGAAGAATTGGGAGGTTGGGTGTGGGGGCGGGTGATGAAATCCCTTCAAAGGGTGACATTCAGCTACAGCTGCACCCAGGCAGGCAGGAGCTTGTAGACCTGCCTGGATCGCTTGTTCTGCAACGAGGTATCCACTTCCAGGCAAACTGTTCTCCCTTGCATTAAACAATTGCAAGCTGACTGAGAAATCCCAGTTGGACTCCTTTCAGCGCTCTCAATCCAGTCCCAAACCTACCTTGGCCAGGCTGAACAGGAAGGAGCTTGGAAAACCAGCATACTGAGAACCAAAGTGTGGAGCTGGAGGAACACAACAGGCCAGGCAGTATCAGAAGAACGGGAAAGCTGACGTTTCAGGTCGGGACCCTTCTTCAGAAATTCAGATTTCTAAAGAAGGGTCCCGACCCGAAACGTCAGCTTTCCTGATCCTCTGATGCTGCCTGGCCTGCTGTGTTCCTCCAGCTCCACACTTTGTTATCTCTGACTCCAGCATCTGCAGTTCTTGCTATCATACTGAGAAGCAATACTGTCTTCAGGCTCTGTCCACATTATGACTTTGTGGGGTTCACAAATCTTGTCCAGTGCCTTTCACTTCCCTGAACTTGCTTTGCAGCTTTTGAAACGCAGTTGCTAATGTACTGTAGGAAAATATGCTGCCAGTTAGGTAATGGATCATAATGGATCAATTACTCTGAGTTTTAATTATTTAAGGCAATTTAGTGTCATTAAGATAGGCAGTGTGTATAATTCAAAAAGTACTGTATTCCTTTTCATTGCAATCATCGTAGCATTTGGGTTAAGAATGACTGGTAGGATTTACAGCTGTGTAAATTATTTAAATACTTGTCCCAATGATGCATCTGGAAACAATAATAAACTTTGATATTTAAGGAAATTAATACTTTAATATTTATATTTATATTCCTTATTATTTACAATTATGCATCTCATGACTATTCACAATTTATGAAAATAAATATATGGTACAAGAATAATTTTAAACAATTACTAGTTAATTAAATAATTTAAAATAATTAGAAGTGCATCAACAGCTTGATGTGATAAGTCCTGTGTATGGGTGAAAAGACTAAGCATGGGGATTTCAATGAAAGAGTGTGTGCACACTATGAGGTATGGCTTTCCTGCCTCAGTCATCCTGTCTGAGAATGGACAGAGACTATTTGAGTTCTGCTTCTAAAATGAGCTTTGCGTAAATAAGATCTCTTTTCTCAGAACAAACCATGCCACAAGATGACCACAGGGTATTAGCATCAGTTGGATTTGATCATTATCAGCTGCGACTGCATGAATAACATGCTCAATACATGCAACTATAACAGCACTGACTTTGGTACAGATCACTCTGTGGTGTGCATCAGAATTAGAATGAAATGAACCCTGAATGTTTTCACTTAAAGATAGAAATGCTATCATGTATCAACATTGGCCATACTGCTTACCCAGATAAAAGCCAACAGGCCCTCAGCTTTATTGAACAGGATCTTTCTGGCATTCCCACATAAAGTGTAGAAGCAAAATGAAACATATTTTGAGACACCATCTACAATACTGCATTCTCAACATATGGGAAGCTGACTGGTTCAAGGCTAACATCATTGTGATGGAACCTATTATTGAAGCCAAACAGTGGGCTATCATTAATTACAAGAGAGATACAAGTGAGAAGACTCTGAATGCAAAAGAACCACTTGAATAAAGACAGACAGACTGGTAAGTTGTGCACAATGACTATTGATTAAAAATAGGATCAGACAGGGTTGTGTCTGGCACCAACATTCTTTGGGGTATTTTTCCCTTTGCTCGTCCCATATGTCTTCACACCAGCAATGTAGGATGTCTACTTACCTATTTGAACTGATGGAAAGCTGTTCTACCTTGATCCCATGATATACAAGATAAGGGTGCATAAAGGCATCAAAAGGATAGATATTTTCATGCCCATGAAGTGTTTAGTTTGACATATCTTCATCAGCAAGACAAATATCATGGTCCAGGATGTTGCCATGTGCCTACACTGGAAATTGTTGACAGCTTCATGTATTTGGGCATTACAATCAACAGCAATGTGTCACTTGATGCCGAAGTCAACTCAACACGTTTTAATTATTATGTACAAACTCAGCAAGTGAGTGGGAAACAACAGCAACCTGATTGAAAAACCAAACAGTAAGACAACAAAGCCTGAACGCTTAGGGTGCTTCCAAACAGTGGTGAGACATGGACTACATATGCTGGGCAGGAGAAAAATATGTATCCTCAACATCTCTTGGCAGGACAGGATCACCAACTCACAGGTCCTGGATTGCCAACAGAGTCTTTATTTATTTATTTATTTATTCACGGGATGTAGATGTCATTGGTTAGGCCAGTATTTATTGCTCATACCTAATTACCCAGAAGGCAGTTGAAAGCCAACCACATTGCTGTGGGTTTGGAATCACATGTAGGCCAGACCAGGTAAGGATCGCAGTTTCCTTCCCTAAAGGACAGGAATGAACAGAAATAAATGGATTTTTTCCAACAATTGGCAATGGTTTCATGGTCATCATTATACCGTTAATCCCAATTTTTAAAAAAGTTGAATTCAATAATTCAATTGGGTTCCCAGAGCATTACTTGGGTCTCTGGGTTAATAGCCCAGTGATAATACCACTAGTTCATTGTCTCCCCAAAATCAGCTGTGATATTTGGAGGCTTCCAGACGTGGTTCTGCACACCATATATCATGGTTATTGGGCATCTGTGTTGGGTCAGGGATGCCTTTTGGCAGCTGCATCCATGACTTGGCAGACCTCTTCAAAATACCTTCTGCTCATATTGAATGGGGAGGGATCTAGAAATATTCCCATGAAAATGAACTGTCCTGTCTTTCCGCTGCCTTGGAAACCATACCCAGTGCCATTACAAATCCTGTGATTATAACGAAATAGAACTAATCTTGGAACGTGGAATGTGAGTCACTTGACAACCCAAAGTGTGTTCACCTAGAAGGATAAATCATGGCCCAGGCACAGCATTGACATCGTTAATCTTAGTGAAACCCACCTCACTGTGAGGGGTACCTGAGGGAAGCCAGTGGAGGGCATATCTTCTGGAAAAGGAAGTCAGACGGTGACTACCCCCATCACAGAGTCGGTTTTGCCATGAGCACAGGATCTTTGCTTCACTCTCTGAACTACCATTGAGGGTCAATGAGAAGCTGATAAAATTACACCTACATCTCAGCCATAACCAACATGCCACACCACTGTCATCAGCGCACACACACCAAAATTAGGTTCCAATTATGAAGTCAAGGAAAGGGTCTACCTCAATCTTGATGGCATCCTTGCTTCAATCCTCAGGGACAACAAGATCATTCTTCTTGGTGGCTTTAACACCCGAATTAGACATGACTACAAGTTTTAGAATGGAACTAGTGGCAAAAATGGTGTTGGGAAGACCAACACCAATAACATTCTGTTCTCGACCATGTATGCTCAACTTGGTCTGTTCATGATGAACATGACCTTTCACCAGAAGAACCAGTTCAAGACCACATGGAGGCACCTGAGGTCCAAACATTGGAATCTTCTGGTCAACATCATTGTCTGAGGCAGAGACCCGAGAGGTGTGCTTGTCACAAGAGCTGTGGAGAATTTTGAACATTGCTGGACAGAGCACTGAATTATGGTAATTAAGTGCCCAGACACTGAAAGACCAAAAACACTGGTCAGAGAAAGCTGAATGCACCTGTCTTGAACGATCTGAAACAACAGAATGAGTTCCAGCATAGTTGCACAGTGCACTGGATCAAGTGCCTACCATTGATGCCATCTACATCCAGTCAAATGGAGAGCAACTTACGTCTGCTGTCCTAGACACCTTCATTCATAAAGTCATGGTTTGCTCCATGACAGAACCAGGCTTGGTTTAATGCCAGTTACACCCAGATCCACATTCTTGAGTGGAAGTGAGCAGCCTTCTGGGACTTGACAAAGACACCTATATAACCAGCAAATTATGGCAATGTACAATCTCCTGAAGACTATAGTCCACCAATCTATTTGTGACAGGAAGAACAACTGATGGGTGGAGAAGGTGCATGGGATTCAGGCGTATGCTGACCAGCATGACAAGTGCAACCACTTCCAGCCAACAAGGTAATCTGTGGGGTAATAGGAACTGCCAATGCTGGAGAATCTGAGATAACAAGGTGTAGAGCTAGATGAACACAGCAGGCCAAGCAGCATCAGAGGAGCAGGAAAGCTGACGTTTCGGGCCTAGACCCTTCTTCAGAAACCCTTTTATGGAAACTACAGAGAAATTTCCCTCCTATCCACCATTGGTAAGATCCTGACCTGCATCCTCTTAAACTATCCTACCACTGAGGACCTCCTTCCAGAAACCCAGTGTAGCTTCCGACCAGCTCACAATACTGAGCGCATGATCTTCGTGCCTGAGCAGATGCAGAAGCAAAAGCTAGAATCGTTCCACAATATTGGGCGTGACCAAGTCATTTCATTCTCTTTAGTTGCCCATTGAAATTTGTCACCACCCTGAGACTCCTGCATGAAAACATGATCCTCCTGAGTGGAGGATCTGAAGTGGACATCTTTTCATCAAAACAGAGTCAAACAAAGTTATGTAATTACCCCCCTTCTTCATCATAGAACATAGAACATAGAACATTACAGCGCAGTACAGGCCCTTCGGCCCTCGATGTTGCGCCGACCTGTGAAACCAATCTGAAGCCCATCTAACCTAAACTATTCCATTATCATCCATATGTTTATCCAATGACCATTTAAATGCCCTTAAAGTTGGCGAGTCTACTATTTTTGCAGGCAGGGCATTCCACACCCTTACTACTCTCTGAGTAAAGAACCTACCTCTGACATCTGTCCTATATCTATCACCCCTCAATTTAAAGCTATGTCCCCTCGTGCTAGCCATCACCATCCGAGGAAAAAGGCTCCCACTGTCCACCCTATCTAATCCTCTGATCATCTTGTATGTCTCTATCAAGTCACCTCTTAACCTTCTTCTCTCTAACGAAAACAGCCTCAAGACCCTCAGCCTTTCCTCATAAGACCTTCCCTCCATACCAGGCAACATCCTGGTAAATCTCCTCTGCACCCTTTCCAATGCTTCCACATCCTTCCTATAATGCGGTGACCAGAACTGTACGCAATACTCCAAGTGTTCATCTACTTGATCGTTATCATTCACCTCACCAAAGATAACCTACCACCCAATGTCAGTAATCAATATTATGTGGACGGGAAGCTTTGTAACCTTGGTCACTTCCATATATTCATGCCCTTCATTTTGCAGATAACTGTGATAGTGCATTCCATGTAAAACATGCAAAAGATGCTGATGTTTTCAATACTTTGTGCTTAAACATCACCAAAAGAAGGCCTATCACCAACATTCCCAGGCCAATTGAACCATCCAGGTAGACAGTTGGGTCTGGAGTTTCTGCAGCCCTTCCTCTTTCTGGCCAGCCATCCCTACCATAAGAACAGGAGGAACAGGAGTAGGCCATTCAGCCTCTCAAGCCTATTCCACCATTCAACGAGATCATGGCAGGTCTGAGGCCAAACTCCATACACCTGTCTTTGACCCATATCCTTTACCTTTGTTTAACAAAAATGGATTCATCTGAGTTTTAAAATTAACAACTTATTTAGCATCAACTATCATTTGAGGAAGCGCGTTCCAAACCTCTACCACGTTTTGTGTGTAGAAGTGCTTCCTAACATCTCTCTTGAATGGTCTGGCCCTAATTTTTATCCTAAGACTCCCAGTTCTAGAATCGTGGAACAAATGCAAATACCTGCCACTACTATAAAAGATCTTAATGTGATTGATACTTTATATCACTAACTTTAAACTTCACCAGCATTAATATGTAAATCTTACATGCTCATGTGGACCTCATATGCCCCCTTGAGGATAATTTATTTTTGCCTGAAAACGCTTTCATTTCAGGCAAATAAACAAGATAACTTGTGCTGCTAATGTGCAAACTGATTACCAAAGCAGGGATTTGAGTGTGTCAGTCTAACTGAAAGTTATGTATTATTTTTGTCTAAGCAGTTGTATATAATTTTACATACATACATATGTACCAATTTTAAACAATATATGTAAAATATTAAATATTGCAATTGACTTCATACAAAGTATGAAGATAAAACTTTTGATACATAATGCACCAAAGCTGATGGGTTTTCTTGTCTTTTTTCGGACCAGCTTTCTGCTGGACTATGCTGCACTGCAGTAACTCATCAAATATATTTCAACAGTGCGTCCTTCACTATGACCTCTACCATCTAGAAGGACAAGAGCAGCAATATCATCAGAGTGCCATCATCATCAAGTTCCTCTCAGAGTCACAGATAATGCCGACTGGACATAAATTGCTTTCCTTGGCCATTGCTGAGTCAAGATCCTGAAATTCTTCATTTAATACCATTGTGGGAAATTTTTCATCAAATGGATTGCATCAGTTCAAGATAAAAGCAAACTTGGGAAACTAGACAGTAAGACCATAAGATGTAAGAGCAGAAGTAGGCCATTCAGCCCATTGAGTCTACTCCACCATTCAATGAAATCACGGCTGATCTGATAATCCTCAACTTCATTTTCCTGCCTAATCCCTACAACCCTTGATTCCATTACTGATTACAAATCTGGATATCTCGGCCTTGAATATACTTAATGACCAAGCCTTGACAAATGATGGCAGTAAAGAATTCCAGACTCACTACCCTCTGACAGGAGAAATTCCTCCTCATTTTTGCCTTAAATGGGCAACCCCCACCCCTCCCCAACCATTCTGGAATTATGTCCTCTGATTATGCCTAGACTCTTCCACAAGGGGAAGCAACCTCTCCATGTCTGCATGGACAAGCCCTCTAAGAATGCTACATGTTTCAATACTTTCCTCTCATACTTTTAATCTCCAATTAGCCTAACCTACTCAACTGCTCTGCATAAGAAAATCCCTTCATACCCAAAATAAACCAAGTGAACTTTGTCTTGACTGCCTCTAATTCCAGTATATCTTTCCTTAGATAAGCGAACTAAAGCTATTTACTGTATTCCAGGCGTGGTCTGACCAGTGCCTTCTATAATTTAGCAAGACTTAACAACTGTTATACTCCACTCCCTTTGAAATAAAGGCCAATTTTTCATTTGCCTTCCCCATTACCTGCTAAATTTGCAGTTATTCTTCTATTCTTCCAGCCAAAGTGCAAAATCTCACATTTTCCTACATTATATTCCATCTGCCAAGTTTTTGTCCACTCACTTAGCCTGTTCAATTGCCTCATGAACCCTTTGCGTAATCCTCCCTACTTGCCTTCATGACTATTTTTGTGTTATCTACAAATCTGGCAATAATACATTCACTTCCTTCATACAAGTCATTAATATACGTTGTATATTAATGATACTGATCCCTGAAGCACTTCACTAGTGACAGCGTGTCATCCCAAAAATGTTCCTATTATCTCAACTGTGCTTTTTAATTAGTTTGCCAATCCTTTATCCATCTTAATATATTACCTCAAACACTCATTAAATAGCATATGTACTTTACCAAATGCATTTCAGAATGAGCAACAAACATAATTTTTCAATTGTTGCCTGTATTCTGAAAAGCGATGAGAAAATGCATGAATGGGAGAAAATCAGTTATATACGTAATAGTATATTTTGATTACGTGCTTGTTGTAGATTTTTTTTTGCAATGGAAGAACTTTGCTTATATGTATTGTTTGTCATGTTTTGGGAATACCCCAGCATGTCTCACAGTAAATGAGGTACCTTTTCAAGTGCAGTTACAATTGTACTGAAAGACAAAAAAGCAGTCAATTTGTACACAGTGAGGTCATTTGAGCACCATATAAATAAATCATAAAAAAAGCTGTTTTTGTTGATTTTTTTTGTGAAACATTGACTACTTTTGGTCTTGCTTGTAACAATTCCGTCAGCTTCAAAAGGATATTAAACTGACATAATGGCAGGGAGACTTACAGTGCCTTTCTTCAACTTAATTTGAGGGACCGTTTTAAAGTAAAAGGAAAAAGAAATGGCTTTTGAAAGCTTCTCTTCCAAACAGTAAGGTTCAGATCATAGATTACTTGTAAGTGTGTTAATTAGATAATATAACTTCTATTTCTTGGAGTGTGTGGAGTTTGCACATTCTCCCAGCGTCTGCGTGGGTTTCCTCCAGGTGCTCTGGTTTCCTCCCACAGTCTAAAGGTGTGCAGGTTAGGTGGATTGGCCATGCTGAATTGCTTCATAGTGTCCACAGATGTGGCTTTGTGGGAGAGCCATGGGAAATGCAGGGTTACAGGGTTAGGGTAAGGGGGTGGGTCTGAGTGGGATCTTTGGAGGGTCACCGTAGACTTGATGGACTGAAAGACCATATTCCACACCGCAGGGGATTCTATGATTCAATGACAGATCTAAGATCAATAAAGACAGAAGATAGAGACATGAACACAGGCAGAAACTGATAGAGACAAAACGAGAGCAGAGAGAATGGAAGACACAAACCCAGAAGGATGCACACATGCATATCATGAGAAATAAATTAACGTATGCATAAAAATCCTGAAGGTATATCCCTAACATTTCAGATCAAAGCATCTTGCAGCACAGTAAGAGGCCACTTAGTCATGCCTGTGCCAGCTCTTTGAAACAGTTGTCTAATTCAATACCAAACCTCAGCTTTCCTAAAGAGTCATGTATTTTATTCCTCTTCAAGTAAATGTTCACTTGCCTTTTAAAAATTCAAATAAAATTAGAATCCACATCTTTTCGGATATTGTGAAGAAAATTCTCCTCATTTGCTTTTAGTTTTTTTTCCAATTATTTTTAAATCGAACTCTTTCCCAAGGTTTCTCTTCTTGCTCTGTTAAAATTCTGCAGTTTTGAAAACCTCTATTAGATCTCTCCTAAATTCCCCTGTAACTCACTGCCACTTCTCTTCTGGGCATACCGATCTTGAAGAAGTTCTACTCCTCTCTCTGACAGGATTTCCATTCCAATCTTTTTTCTTGTACACTGACATTCATTTCACTGTTGACTCCTTACTCCCTCACCCCACCCTATCTTCTGCATATAAACTAACATTTTCCTAGCTATGAGACAGCAAGGTGCAGGGCTGGATGAACACAGCAGGCCAAGCAGCATCATAGGAGCAGAGAGGCTGACGTTTCGGGCCTAGACCCATCCTAGCTATCATCAGTTTTGAGGAAGGGACACCGGACCCGAGACGTTAACTCTAATTTCTCTCTACAGATGCTGCCAAACCAGCTGAGCTTTTCCAGCAATCTCTGTTTTTGCTCCCCTTAACCTTTTCTGCCTGAAGGAAAGCAGTCCCAACTTTTCCAATTTCACCAGATAAATAAACTCCCTCAATCTCAGTATCACCATTGTTTTACTCAGCACCTTCTCCAGGATTTTGACATTCATCTCAATGTGTGGTGCCCAAAAATGTACACAATACTCCTAATGAAACCTAAACGGAAAATTGTAAAGGTTTAACATGGCTTCCTTGCTTTCGATTGCAGTGCTTGCACTTATAAAGTATCCAATCCATTTTCTTAACCACTTTATCAATTTGTTCTGTCACCTTCAACTATATATAAATATGCACACCAAAGTCCTTCTGCTCCTGGCCTCCCTTCAAAATATTTAGATTATACTGCCTTCCCATGTTCCTCCCTAAGGGTGCTACTTCACATCTATTACATTAATTTACACCCAGGATGGGTCTGACCATTTCTGCAGTCTGTCAATTTCTTCCAGAAGTCTGCTACTATTGTCCCCACTATTCATTACATTGCCATTGCAAATTCTAAGGTTGTACCAAGTTAAATTAGCACAGATGGAATTGTAGGGGAATATACTTGTATGGATTGTGAATTGTTTCATAGTCACGAAATCAGAGACTAAGAGTAAACAGATCATTCTCTGGATATCAGGCTGTAACTAGCAAGGTACCGCAAGGATCAGTAATAGGTCCAGAACTGTTTATAACCTATGTAAATGATTTGGATGTGAGGGCAGCACGGTAACTCAGTGGTTAGCACTGCTGCCTCACAGCACAAGGGGCCTGGGTTCAATTCCCCCTTGGGCAACTATCTGTGGAGTTTGCACATTCTCCCGGTGTCTGTGTGGGTTTCCTCTGGGTGCTCCAGTTTCCTCCCACACTCCAAAAATGTGCAGGCTAGGTGGATTGGCCATAGTGTTCAGGGATGTGTAAATTAGGTGGGTTTGGGGAATGGGTCTGGGTGGGTTGCTCTGAAGGTCGGTGTGGGCTTGTTGGGCTGAAGGGCCTGTTTCCACAGTCTATGAATTCTATGAATATAAGGCTTCAAGACAACTTGACAGGCTAACTAAATAGTCTAGAACATGGCATATAATGGGTGTCTGGTGGACAGCCTGACATTGGTTATGCTGCAGTTTGTAATAGAATTGGAAGTCCAGCAAGGCTGATTTGACTTCAGGAGCATCTCCCTTGATCTTTTATGCTTTTCATAAGCCTGTGGCAAGTTTCTCGCTCTGCAGCAATGAGTTGCCAATTGAGAAGGAATCTTACTTGTTAAACGCCTTGTGGATGGCCCAACTTGACTCATTAATATTCAGTTTTCTAACTTACCAAACTCGTCAAACAAGCTAGATGTCACCAGACAAGGTTCCTGTTCAATTCAGTTTACCACTGGTTCCAAATGACTCCCATGTTGTACACTGCACTTGGGAACATGAACCAAAATCATGGACTGGTCCAGGCTACAACTTTGGGCTCTTTACTTGTTGTCATAGCACTCACTTATTCTCTGCCTAATTAGAGGCACACAGCATCCGTGCCTTGCATTTCCTTGCCTTGCGTCTTTGTGCTTTGGTCCCCACCCCTCAGCCAGAGATAAGGAGCTTATATCGCTTCTGTCTTGCTGTCTCGGATAAAGGAATGAAGCTTGTCATGGTTGGTAGCAGTCCTCATCCTGTTCAAGGGGGATAGCCTTTGCTCAGGAGATCCTGGCAAATAAGTCAAGAGAAGCCTTCAATATCGGTCCAGGGTATTGGAAATGGTCAGTCAGCCATTCAGGATGGTCACAGTCAGGATGTTTTCCACATAACGGGTGAGGAGATGAATACTGGCAGCCCACGATGTCTTACAATTTTCTGTCCTACTGGGGGCTGCTTTCATCCTGGAATGAAAGAGAGGCAGGTATTCAAGGAAATGAAACTCAGTGCCATAGCAATTACTTTTAGTGCAGGTGGGGAGGTGACTTGAGTGAGTGAGTAGGTAGCTCAGGGGGCATGTAAGGTTAGTGATATCAGAGTTGGGTATGTAACATTGAGTGAGGGAAAATATTGCAGGTATTCGTGAGAGTGGTAGATCACAAGTCTTGGTGGGACTTCGATACAATAGCAAAGATAGAGTGAGTGCAAGGTATTGTAAAGAGTATGGTAGATTTACAAGAGTGGAATGGAGAATGTAATTAACTTTCTTCCTACAGTACTGTGCATTCTTTCAGACAGCTGAAACTCTACTGACCCAGGTGGTAATCTTGGTCTGGTGTTGTGGCCTCCATTGCCAGTTGAGGGAAA